TTGGGGAAGAAGTGGTTGTCCTTTAAACACGGAACGAGTTTACACAGGTATGTACATATTATTTCATTACTCATAATTTTAGAAATAAAAAAGGTTAAACTAAATTTTCAAATTTAAAGACGTTTATCAAAAAAGAATAACAAAAATACCGAATTCCAAGGACAATTCAAAAAGGGGAAGTCCATAAAAACTGACAAAATTGAACGTTATCAACCAACGGAACGAGTGGAAAACAACTGTCATTTTTGTAGTTGTTAAAACATACAGTAGATAATTAACACTTTTTCGATTAAGTACAAATTAAGTAAAATGTAATAAAAACAAATGTAAACGAATGGAAAATTTTTTGTTATCTTCTTTGGCAAAATGGTATTCAAGGAAGATGGTGGGAACTACTACGTTCTCTTTATAAAAATGTAAATAACAAGGTCATTTTTGGAAATAACGAATCAAACTGGTTTGATCAAGAATTTGGCCTAAAACAAGGATGTATTTTATCTCCTACATTATTTTCTATTTTAATATTTGATCTTGTCTCGATGATAAAAGAAAAGAATCTCGGTATTAATGTAGCGACAGAAGTTATAAGTAGTTTACTCTTTGCATCTACGATAGTGTGTTACTAGGGAAAATCGAAGAAGAATTGCAAACCCTATTGAAGGTTGCCAGTGAATTTGTTTCAAAATGGAACCTAAAGTTTAATGCCAAAAAATCAAAAGTTCTAGTGGTAGAAAAAAGACTTAACGCAAATAAAATCTGGTTTCTAGGGGATGTTTAAATTGATGAAGTAAACGAATATAAATACTTGGTAGTTTATTTCTCAAGAACGTTAAAATTTAATCATCATATCGAGAAATACCTAATGAAAACTTTGAAAAGAAAATTAACTATATTATTCGCGTCTTAGAAGTACACGGTGATTTTAATCGGTTTAATTTTGGCTGTGCTTTGTGGATTTTGGTTATACGCCCATCCATTGCTCATGCTTGTGGCGTATGGTATCCCACGTCAAATCCCGGAAACGAAATGCTAGACAGCTGGCAGTACAAAGTCGCAAAAGTTATAATCAACTCTAAAATGAACTTTCCAAAATGCTCTGTTTTATCGGAGTTAGGATGGGAATCTCTAAATAAAGGCAACAGTAGTATACCGCTGTTCGAAACTCATAAATCGATAGAGATAAAAACAAATCCGGGTTACAAACTAAAACTGAGGGAAATGCATCAAATATAAGAGGAGAACAACGACACAACAAAAACACAACATTAAAATGTAACACACACAGATACGAACTATAATATAACAATGGCCATTTTCCTGACTTGGTACAGGACATTTTACGAAAAAAATGGTGGGTTGAACCTGGTTTTGTGGCATGCCAAACCTCCCGCTTTTATGGCAACGTCAAACACAACACCAAAACGACAACATCACATGACAGGACCACAATACAAATAAATAGGAGAACATATAGGACAAAGAAACACACGAATAATATCTAACAAAAGGTAATAGGCTTAAAATTCAATACGCCAGACGTGCGTCTCGTCCACACAAGACCAAACAGTGACGCTCAGATGAAAAAAGTTTGAAAGCCAAAACAAGTACAAAGCTGAAGAGCACCGAGGACCAAAACTTCCAAAAAGTTGCGCCTAACACGGCCAGGGTTTTCTGCCTGGGACAAGAACATCCTTATTATTTAGAATAATTTATAATTTTGCAAACAGTAAATTTTATAAAATGACTATATAATAGATATACATGATAAAACCGAAGTGGGGGCTAACTACAGAATAAAAACGGATACATTACATAAAACAACTTAATCCAACACATAAAAATACACAGCCGAGTTAGCCAAAGCCTCAACGCACAAAGTGACGTCACATTTGAAATTCTAAAAAAACACACAAAGTGACGTCACATTTGAATTTGTAACAAATTATATGGACCGTCAAAGGATCACATGTTTTGCTAGGTTAGATTCTTTACCTGGTATATTGCAAAATGATTTTTAACGAACTTAAGTTATCAAAAAATTAATATTTTAATCATATTAACGGCATATTCCAGTCCACTGGGATAGACCATTATATACATGGAAACGTTAATATAAAAACGTTTAATAAGTGTTTTGGTACAGATGCTTGTAATAAGCTGAAATCCGAAATCCTTGAAAAGCGAAGCCTCGGTGATTACCGTTCATTTAATGTTACACAAGCACGACAATACTTATTATCAAAAGAAGATGATTTTTGGACCTCTCGTCTTAAATTTCTGGCTAGAACAAACTGTCTTCCATTGAATGCTGTGTTATTCAGCATGAAATTAAAAGATAGTAATGCATGTCAAACATGTTGTATTGAAGAAACTGTTTTACATGTATTGTTGGAATGCCAGGCATATAATGATATTCGAGAACGTTTCTTTTCTGATTTGCACGATTTCCTTCTCAATGCAGGAACCGGCGTGTTTTTCTCAGAATTGCCTCGCTTTAATAAACTTCAGTTAATTATCGGCGACATAGCTTTTTTGTTCGGTGATGATACCGGCAAAAATTATCTGACCTCAGTCATTAAAGCTCGCAATGAGTTGTTTCTTGTTAATTTCTAAATTAATTTATATGTATGAAAGTTTGAAAGTGTGCCAAGTTTATGTGAATATGTATTTTAAGAAAAAGTCTAAATATATGTGCAATCTTTTAATAATATTCAAGATATCGCAATGCACTTTTATGGTTTCTTTTATTCATTTTTATAAATGTTTGCCGCATACAAACTATACAAACAATATATTCAGCGTACGTAAAAATTACATCACTATAAAATTAAAAATGTCAATATAATCGTAAAAGTATTTCTTTTAAAATCCAACCTTTGACAATAAACATTTATAAAAATGAATAAAAGAAACCATAAAAGTGCATTGCGATATCTATAATATCAACTTAATGTAGTTGTCACTGGTTCAGACATACTTATAATATAATTATTTCTGTGACTGCATCCTACATTAATTTGTAAGATCCTCTACGATAGATAATTCAGCTGATCTGTAATATTCCATCGTCATGCCTTATAGATCATGTACTGTGTTACGATGCTAGATAAAAACTGACGAGGAAAGGTAACACCCGGCCACCGAAAGCTTGATTTTTGTCGAGCCTAGATGGTCGAGTGGTCTAGCGCGTCGGGTATAGTGCAATGCGATTTGGTGCCACGATATCTCAGTAGCATGAGTTCGAATCACGGCGAGGGAAGAACAAAAAGTTGGTTCCGCAAATTTACAGATCTAACATTGTCGAGCTGTTATTTAGACGAATTATATATACAGAATGTGTTTTCAACCTTGTATCACCATCACTGGTGATCCGATGGATAAAATCTGTCGTAGAGTTGTCACTGGTTCAGACGTACTTATAATATAATTATTTCTGTGACTGCATCCTACATTAATTTGTAAGATCCTCTACGTTAGATAATTCAACTGATCTGTAATATTCCATCTTCATGCCTTATATATCATGTACTGTGCTACGACGCTAGATAAAAACTGACGTGGACAGGTCACACCCGGCCACCGAAAGCTTGATTTTTGTCGAGCCTAGGTGGTCGAGTGGTCTATCGCGTCGGGCATAGTGCAAGGCGTTTTGGTGCCATGATGTCTCAGAGTATGAGTTCGAATCCCGGCCAGGGAAGAACAAAAACTTGCCTCCGCAAACTTGCAGATATAACATTATTGGGCTGTTATTTAGACGAATTATATATAAATGTTAGTCAAATGCGTTTTGTTAAAATATACTTTTCACTTTTTGGTCTTTTGGAAAATGTTGTTTGTGCTGTATTTAGACCCCTCTACCAAGAAATTTGTTTTACATGCACACGTATAAAAATTGCTGTTTTTATCCAACGCAATCATAGATTTGAACGTTGTTATCAATTTAAACTTGTTTATATTTTTTCGTTTGGGCTTGTATTATATTTTCCTTCGGGTTTATATGATCCGTTCATCCTATTTCGACTCTTTAAAATTCAAGAGTCTAGCCTAAATTGAGGTAAATTATATGGCCTTCCAAATACCGTTTCGATCCCTAACATCACTGAAGAGACATTAATTGTCGAAATCCGTATATGGTGTACAATTTTTTGCACCTCATGTTTGCGATATACCATCTTTTCCGCAAGTTGATTGTTTTCTGTTTGGTATTAAATTAATAATTAAGATCCATGTTGCATATGGTGATCAATTTATTTGGCAATCGCCAATGGCAGTCAGCAGGGTTTAAGAACATCAGTTGTTCGACCTGTTAGTCAAATGCGTTTTGTTAAAATATACTTTTCACTTTTTGGTCTTTTGGAAAATGTTGTTTGTGCTGTATTTAGACCCCTCTACCAAGAAATTTGTTTTACATGCAACAAGAGTGTTACGATATTTCTCCCACGAGACAGTAAAAATTTAATATTTCAAGCGCGAGGCTTGCCGAGCTTTTTAAATAATTAAAATTTAACTGTTGAGAGTGGAGAAATATCGTAATACACGAGTTATAGAGGTGGAATCTGTTTCTCTTATGATTTTTATCCTTCCTTTTCAAAGATTTGCAGAAAGTTGTGTTCTTTATATATGACGTCATCAGGCATGGTCACCTTTTTTCATGACATCACAATAGGAAAATTCAGAAGAAACCAAGAAAATTTGACGTCATAATTAATTTTCGACCAATCATTTGCCGAGAACAGATATTTCATTAGTGAGGAGAAGTATTTTTCTCACACCGATCAAGAAATGTGAAAAAAGCACAAAAATTAGAGAATAATTGATTTCTATACTGGGGGAAAAACCGGTAACCACATTCAAATTTTACATCATTATATCGGAAATGTTCATTATGGCATGTAGCGAATTACATATCACTTTTAAACAACTCAACGCTACAATTTCCTTCCCGTATCATGTCGTTCAGATATCATAAATAAGTGTGTAACTAATTGTTTCATAGTAGGTCCTCAAAAATGAACCATGAAAGCGTTTTTAAAGAGTTCTCATGATTTACATCCTTGTTTGTGTGTCAATTTAAAAAGGAAACATTTGTAAATTATGTATATACATATTAGCTAAGAGATGTCTCACTCTGAATATTGATATGCCTTAGGATGCTGTCTTTGAAGATTGTGGCTGTTGGCGATCGGTAAATTTTTACATAGAAATTCAATTCAAATGCAAATATTATAATTTTTCCTACACTTTGTTGAATATCTTTATTTTATGATAGTTGTAAAATTTTAAATGGTATATGTAAGTTTGTATGTCAAGGTAGATATATCATGTATATACACATTATACATGTACATAATAGATGTTTTAAGCTCATCGAAGTAAATAGTTTCGTATCTAAGTTCTTTCCTTTTCGTTTACAAAAAATAATTTTAATCTTCTAAATTATTTCCTTGCCAAATAATTTTTATTCATAAAAGGCCTCTATTTCAGTTAATCTTTAATCCATGTGATACATTTGATAATAGGTATATGTATGCATGTGTAGTCTACTACTTTACAATTGATTTTTATCCAGTTCTACAAATAAATTGCCTAGTTTAAATCATTGTTGTTTGCTTACGTCCCGCGACAAATATTTCGTTCAAAGTCATTTTATTGACCTTTAATTTTGGGTCCACATATAAATTTTCCATCATATCGAGTGAATAGAAGGATCATGAAGTGATGTAATAGATCGATATTAACCAAGACATGTAGAGGCCCACATACAGTCTTGTTCTAAATCGAAACGAGGCAATCAAAGTTATGAATAAAATCAGAAATGATTTAAAATAAAGTAAAACATTAAGATAAGATAAGATACTTTATTGGTTTAAAAATCCAAAATTACAGGATTGTTACAAAAAACAATAAACATTGGCTATACATAAACATACAAACACATATCTGTCAACATTTATAAGTTTATAAGATATGAAATACAACTTCTACTGGCTTTAGGCAGGCACACGTAAATGTAGCGGAGTTTTAAGGCGGGTTTTACTAGGTTTTTTTTAATAATCTTTTAATATAAAACTAAGAATATGTGGTATGACTGCCAATGAGACAGCTCTCCACAAGAGACCAAATGACATAGAAGTTAACATCAAGAGGTCATCGTACGGTCTTCAACAATGAGCAAAATCCAAACCACATATAGTAAGCTATAAAAGGCCCCGAAATGACAAATGTAAAACCATTCAAACTAACGGCCTGATTTGTGTACAAATCAATAAACGAAAGACAAAAATGGTATGCAGCAACAACAACAAAAAAACAACCACTGAATTACAGGCTCCTGACTTGGGACAGGCACATACAGAATGTGGCGGCGGGGTTAAACATGTTTGATGGCGCCAAACTCCCCCCCCCCCCCCCCTAACCTGGGACAGTTGTGTAACGGTACAACATAAGAACATAAGTGAGTTTTTAGATTAAATAATGATATGCTTGTAGGAATGTTGGTAAAAGGTGCTTGCTTAGATCATATGTTGAAGGACAGTTTCCTAACGATGACATTAAAAATGTGTCGTAAGTATTTACTTAGTGTACTTCCTTGACAATGTGTAAATTTTCAAGTTCGAGGATTTTCTCGTTGACTTCTACTTAAGGTTTATTACTACCTTAATATCCCATAAAAATATATCACACGAAGGAGATTTTTTTAGTTTAACCTTTATACGGATGCAGTTCGATGGACCAATGAATATTCAACTTTCCTTCATGACCTTATTATTCCCTAATGGAGTCATTTTCCTGCAAATATGAATAGAATCTCGAATGTGATTGACTATATATAAGAGTAGTCAATTAAAATATAATGTTGATTGTTTGACACCGAATGACAGTTTTTGTGGGAAGCTTTCATAACATGTTTCATTTATTATATCAATTTTTCATAAATCGTTCAAATATTGAATAGTAATTGTATAGCTTAAATTGATATGTGTGTTCTTGCTGTTTATTTACGATACGTCTTGTTAATACGTACTTTCCATCGTTTCGTATGATTACTGTTCAAAGACATGTGCATCATCAAGGGTAGCCATCGGTATTTTTCTACTTCCGTATACTAGAAATCTGATTGGCTTCTTTCCAATTTATTTGCAAATTGTGTTAGTGAATATACAATTGCCTTATTGAAACCAGATATTATAAGAGATATATAAGATTTTTGTTGATTGGTTGATTGATTGATTGATTGTTCGTTGTTTGCTTAACTTCCGGTGGCATTTTTCTTGATTGCTCAAACCCTTGTATGAAAATAAAATAGAATCGTTTAACAAAATGCTGTATATGTTTATAAGACAGATATGTGTAAATACTTGCTAAAACCAGGTACATACGATATAATTAAATGTTGAAAGTTCTGCATTGTGAGTTTATGTTTGTTTTACTAGGCTGTACAGTATGAGTGAAAGCTTATTTTTCAAAAGGATTCATCTTGGCACCAGGCACGGTACATTTGCCTACCATTCTCTCAAAATGTTTGAAATGTTCATATAACTTCTTAAATCATATCATAAAAATCTAGACCTGAAGTCTTGATGTATCACATAAATTTAAGAATATGCAAGAGTGTATGCTATTATCGAAGGCTATATACAATATGATCCTCAGCTATGATTGAAAGCTATAAACAGTATGAGTGTACATTTAGATAGAAGGCTATATATAGTATGAGTGTATGCTACAATTGAAGGCTATATTCAGTATGAGTGTACATTATGATAGAAGGCTATATACAGTATGAGTGTACGCTATGATTGAAGGCTATAAACAGTTTGAGTGTACGCTATGATTGAGAGCTATACAGTGTGAGTGTATACGCTATGATTGAGGACTATATACAGTATGATAGTACGCTATGATTGAAGGCTATACAGTGTGAGTGTATATGCTATGATTGAGGACTATATACAGTATGAGTGTACGCTATGATTGAAGGCTATAAACAGTTTGAGTGTACGCTATGATTGAGAGCTATACAGTGTGAGTGTATACGCTATGATTGAGGACTATATACAGTATGATAGTACGCTATGATTGAAGGCTATACAGTGTGAGTGTACATATGCTATGATTGAGGACTATATACAGTATGAATGTACGCAATGATTGAAGGCTATATATAGTATGAGTGAACGCTATGATTGAAGACTATATACAGTATGAGCGTACGCTATGATTGAAGGCTATATACAGTATGAGTGTACGCTATGATTGAAGGCTATATATAGTAATATTATTAATTCGTATATTTTATCAAATTTGATTCGTTTAGGGATAGTCACATGTTAAACTATATTTTCGAAGGTAGAGAGAAAACGGCGGATAGCAAAAAGCATATTACACAGCAAAAAGCATATTGCACGATATACTTTGTGACGTCATGTAATGAATTTCAGGATATTGTTCAACGTTTTGAAACAAATGACATCTGTGATCGATTATTTGACAATTTTTTTTTCAAATACATAAGATGTCAAACAAACAAACAAAAAGTAAATGAAATAACAACTAATATGTTGTTATTGTCAAGGAGACAATATAATATCTATAAAATTCCAACAAAATCAAATGTCGATTTTGATACAAATATGGTCGAAAATTAATAATATAACAAATATAGCCTTTGTATGAGGTCAATACAGGATATATCGACCCAAAGAAGTATATCGACCTCGGACTTCGTCCTCAGTCTATATACTTCTTTCAGGTCAATATATCCTTGTATCGACCTCATACAAAGGCTATATTTGTATATGAGTGTACGCTATGATTGAAGGCTATATACAATATGAGTGTACGCTATGATTAAAGGCTATATATAGTATGAGTGTAGGCTATGAATGAAGAATATACAATATGAGTGTACCCTATAATGGAAGGCTATATACAGTATGAATGTACGCTATGATTGAAAGCTATATACAGTATGAGTGTACGCTATGATTGAAGGCTAAACAGAATGAGTGTACGCTATGAATGAAGGTTGTATACAGTATGAGTTTACGCTATGATTGAAGACTATATGCAGTATGAGTGTACGTTATGATTGAAAGCTATATAAAGTATGAGTGTACGCTATGATTGAAGACTATATACATTATGAGTGTACGCTATGATTGAAGGCTATACAGTACGAGTGTATACGCTTTCATTGAAGGCTATATACAGTATGTGTGGACGCTATGATTGAAGGCTTTATTCAGTATGAGTGTACGCTATGATTGAAGGCTATATTCCTTATGCGTGTACGCAATGATTGAAGGCTATATACAGTATGAATGTACGCTATGATTGGACTATATATAGTATGAGTGTACGCTATGATTGAATGCTATACAGTATGAGTGTATACGCTATGATTGAAGGCTATATACAGTATGTGTGGACGCTATGGTTGAAGGCTATATACAGTTTGAGTGATTACGCTATGATTGAATGCTATATACAGTATTAGTGTACGCTATGATTGAAGGCTATACAATATGAGTGTATACTCTTTGATTGAAGACTACATTTATACAGTGTAATTGTAAGCTTATATCTGAAGGCAACACTGTATATATACGCTTATGGTTATAGACTACTAGTATATTGTAAAAGTGTAGGCTTATGATTAAAGGCTTTATAGTATGAGTGTACGCATTTGTTTATAAATTACACAGTGCAGATGTTTTACCTATTTTTTACCCATATTTAAGATTTTTGAAAGTTACAAATCTAAATCGTTTTAGTTTTAAACTCATGAATCCCTGTTAAGATTGCTGAAACCAAGGCCGTTGCCCTAAATCTAATGCGATTACTATAATTTGAGGTATATCCCGTCGATTCTTTCGTTATAATACTGTTTTAGTGTTAAAATATATACATTATCTGTTTCCGGTATATAAGAGAGCAGTAAAATGTGGCCTTTTAAATAAATCTTCTTTATCTTGAATCAAAATTAGGAAACAACTATTAAATAATAGATATTTGAAAATTTAAGAGGAAATAATAATTGTAAATAACGCATTCATATTCAATGTCCTTCTTTTTGAAGTTTATCATTGAGATTATAAAACGATATATCTAAATGATTTGAAGATTGTAGAAGTAGGAGAAAAATGTTCAGCTATTTATTTTACTTCAAAAACAGAAAAATCTGAGAAGTGTTGTTCATTTGGCTACACACCATATTGGAAACTACTAATTAGGTCTTTCCACCTTTCCGTGGAAAGACCTATTGGTTTTCTTCTGATTATTTTTTTTTTCTTCCGCCTAATTTTTTTCTTGCGGTGTATTTTTGTTTCAAAAGATGTCGCTTAGTTTTTTGGTATATGATATCATACAGTCTATACGCTTTTGAAACTGACCCTGTTTAACCGAACACTTTTCTTTGTAAGAGTTATCTCCCCAAACACTGTTTTTCTTGTTATGAGATCTCCTCCGCAACCGTAAAAGAAAGCGACAAATTTATTTTTCCAAATTGCTCGTTATATCCTCAGGATGTTAGGTTTTATTTAGACCGAAGCTTTACGAAGACTCCATATGAGAGTTATTTCCCCTTTTGTATTTGATATATGTGAAATGTATTTGTAACTGGAAAACCATAAGTGATAGAGGGCTAGGGTCTTTTGATTTGAGGTCCTTGGTCCATAAAAATGAAAATGAGGTCAAGGTCAAAGGTCAAGGTCATGTTAAAAATTTTGATTTTGGTTTGTTATCACTAATTTTCAGAAATCTTATAAGATATCGACAAATTTTTTTACAGAATTGTTAGTTGCGACATGTTGTAACACGTAAATTTTAGTTGAAAGGATACGGAGACATTTAATGGGAATTTTCTCCCCTTTTATATTCAAAATTACATGTATGGTGATATAACTTATTCATCTTATATAATTGAGACCTAGGGTCCGATGATTTGAGGCCCTTGTTTCATGACCTTTAAATTGGGGTCACGGTCAAAGTTTAATTTGACGTTCTATTTTTTTTTTTTTTTTCTTCAGCCTAATTTTTTTCTTGCAGAGTATTTTTGTTTCAAAAGTTGTCGCTTAGTTTTTTGGTATATGATATCATACAGTCTATACGCTTTTGAAACTGACCCTGTTTAACCGAACATTTTTCTTTGTAAGAGTTATCTCCCCAAACACTGTTTTTCTTGTTATGAGATCTCCTCCGCAACCGTAAAAGAAAGCGACAAATTTATTTTTCCAAATTGCTCGTTATATCCTCAGGATGTTAGGTTTTAATTTAGACCGAAGCTTTACGAAGACTCCATATGAGAGTTATTTCCCCTTTTGTATTTGATATATGTGAAATGTATTTGTAACTGGAAAACCATAAGTGATAGAGGGCTAGGGTCTTTTAATTTGAGGTCCTTGGTCCATAAAAATGAAAATGAGGTCAAGGTCAAAGGTCAAGGTCATGTTAAAAATTTTGATTTTGGCTTGTTATCACTAATTTTCAGAAATCTTATAAGATATCGACAAATTTTTTTACAGAATTGTTAGTTGCGACATGTCGTTACAAGTAAATTTGAGTTGAAAGGGTACGGAGACATTTAATGTGAGTTTTCTCCCCTTTTATATTCAAAATTACATGTATGGTGATATAACTCATTCATCTTATATAATTGAGACCTAGGGTCTTTTGATCTGAGGCCCTTGTTTCATGACCTTTAAATTGGGGTCAAGGTCAAAGTTTAATTTGACGTTCTATTTTTTTTTTTTTTCTTCCGCCTAATTTTTTTCTTGCGGTGTATTTTTGTTTCAAAAGATGTCGCTTAGTTTTTTTTGGTATATGATATCATACAGTCTATACGCTTTTGAAACTGACCCTGTTTAACCGAACATTTTTCTTTGTAAGAGTTATCTCCCCAAACACTGTTTTTCTTGTTATGAGATCTCCTCCGCAACCGTAAAAGAAAGCGACAAATTTATTTTTCCAAATTGCTCGTTATATCCTCAGGATGTTAGGTTTTATTTAGACCGAAGCTTTACGAAGACTCCATATGAGAGTTATTTCCCCTTTTGTATTTGATATAAGTGAAATGCATTTTTAACTGGAAAACCATAAGTGATAGAGGCCTAGGATTTTTTAATATGAGGTCCTTGGTCCAAAAAAATGAAAATGAGGTCAAGGTCAAAGGTCAAGGTTATGTTCAAAATTTTGATTTTGGCTTGTTATCTCTTATTTTTAGAAATCATATAAGATATCGACAAAATATTTTCACACAATTGTTAGTTGCGACATGTTGTAACACGTTAATTTTTGTTGAAAGGGTACGTAGACATTTGATGCGAGTTTTCCCCCCTTTTATATCTAATATTAGTCGTATGGTAATATAACTCCTTAACAATATAAAGTAAAGACCTAGAGTCTTTTGATTTGAGATCCTTGGTTTATGACCTTGAAATTGAGCTCAAGGTCATAGGTTAATTTAACGTTATAGATTTTGACCTTTGCTTTTACCTCATATGTATACATGATAAAGCCAAGGGACTTTTTGCATTAAGTTGCAAGCAATGTGACATTGAAAAAGTCAACCAGAAGTGACCTTTTGTAAACTGGAAGTAGTTATTTTTTGTACTAAATTAATGTAAAAGTATATAGAACCATATATTTTTGGAATCAGTGTCAAGTAAACTATCAAACAATACTGGAAGTAACATCTTTTAAACCGGAAGTAAAAAATTATCTCCCTTATTTATATCTTTTTGTATAGAAACCATATATTTTTGGAATCAGCGTACAATAAGCTGTCATTTGACGCGGAAATTGACATTTAAAACAAAATTTTAATATTTTCATATCAAAACAGATCCTCACTGGTGGAAAGACCTTCAATTGTTCTCTGAACAATTGGTTTTTAATTAAATCAGAAGTTCTTCAAATTGAGTATAGAATGATGTATAAATTTGACAAATTTAAAGCGATGAAAGCAGTTTTGTCAACAGATGCAGTAATTATTAATGTTGAAAGAAGTAAATGAACTTTTTTCGTCTATACAAATCAAATCTACTCAAATCTACTCACATAAATCCAAATCGGATGACGGAAATGATAGTCGGAATTATTTTTTAATTCGAACAATTTCACAGACAGAGAGGATGAGAAACCTCATTTTGACTTTAGATGAATTTGGCTATTTATTTTAGGTATTTTTGTCATATAGCTCTTCAACGGTTTCGGTACTTATACATCCTCGGATTTCAAATGTTTGGCTTTGAGCGTTCCTGGTGAAGGTGAATCCAGAAAGCGCTTCGGACGCATGAAATTATTAAACGTGTTTTTTGTATGCTAGCTTCATGACACAGAGTCATTCTCATTAATTTAATCTAGCAGTTGGAAACGCAACACACAAACACTTTGTTTTTTTATATAAAATATTTTTATCATGAATAAATCTACATTTTAACAATAGTTTTATTCATATCTTTTGTTAAAAGGAATGGCTATAGGAAGGACATTCAGTTCCTGGGTAAATCTATCCGACTTGTGTTATGGGACACCAATGTTGAAGAAGACAACGCCAGATTGCGTCATTTGGCATATCCTCTAACGGTACTGTTGTGTACTTATCACTCGGAAAAAGACTAACGTGAGGGTACCCAAATTGCACCTATTTTGACAGTTTTTACACCTACGTTTTTTAACGATCCAGACAAAAGTTACCATTCTGTGTTTATTTTGTAGATGTATCCTTTTTTACTGTATAGTTACACCAATTTAATTTTGAATCCATAGTGAATCATAGAAAAATGGGTTTGAACCGACCTCCAAACGATCCATGATTCTGTAATGAAGAGTACCCAGATTGCAACCATGCTTTAATTCACATCCTTAAAAATCAAATAACAGTTGTTTTGTTTTATTTATTCAAATATTTAGAACAATTTGACATTAGTCCATGCTTAGTATTCATTTTTTAAGAAATAGATGCTTGTAACATATTTTATTTGCTCATTTTTAAAAGATGACTTTTTGTGAACGTCGCATGGCGACGTTCCGTATATTTTACTTTTTCCAGTGTGCTTCATCTGTTGAAATATATACTGTGAACGTTTTTTGTATATTTGAATATAGTTACCTATGTTAAAAGACGTCTATAATGTCAAATCATAAAAATACAACTTATTTAGTCTCAAAGAAAACTTGTAAGATTTTTCGCAGCTATTTTTGTTGAATAGGTGCAATTTGGGTACTCGGTGCAATTTGGGTACTTTGACGTTATATTCAGCTAAAAATATTTGGCGTTTCTAAGAATGGAACAGTTTCAAGCATTCATAATAGACTACACAAATTTGTAATGTAGATTTTAATAAATAGATATGAATAAAGAACGATGTTACGTAAACGTCAAACGGGACGGCAACCAAACGTGCAACCAAAGAACAGTCAAACATAAATCTAGTAGTAAATACTGATGATAGAGTATAGGAGAATGTAGTTTCATGCATTTTATTTCACAAAAACTAATTCTGAATGAAATGATAATGTGGTATAACCGTCAATGTCAGACTGTAATATACTATTTTGTACATGTACCACGTGTTAAGCTCTGTATCACGCCTGGAGTTAAGGCAAGTGCAAATAGGTTCAATACAGAATCACACTGAAGACAAGACAAGACACTTTATAAGCATCTAACACCATATTTACATGTCAATTGTTTTGTCAGTGGCACTCGAAATTGAAAATTGGGAAATCCGAAAGTATCAAAAGTCACAGACAAAAAACACTAGTAGTTATCATCATCTAATTCCTAAAAGTTTATACAAAAATAATGAGATAAAAACTTGGAGACTACTAACGAGTCACGATTTATACAATTTACAATACAGCAGAATAATTTAAAAATGAATCAAAACTGATCACACAAACATGTAGAAAGAGGGCGAGGACACCAAGGGGGAATGGCAGAAAATGGCGAATAGGCAAACAATTCGACAAAAAACACTACGACGGAAACTAGATATTGAACAACTCAAATCCTACCAAAAACGAATAGGGTAAACAGTTCCTACTTCCTGCTCCACCCATGGCACACTTAGTGCTGTTCCTGACAAGTAAAAATTCGGTGATGAATCGCACTCAATGATATTACATATACGTACCATAGATGAAAAAAGTTGCAAAAAGATGTAATCCTCATCATTTCTATCATTGTATTTATAGGATTTGTTCCTCTTGTGTTTCTCACTTGTTGATCTCAATAGTATGGAAAACATAGAGAAGATTGTAAGTATTTCCTTCTTTTTCATTTTTGTTACGTTGTACCCTTATAATGAAAACAAAACTTAGTTCTATGTCTACTATATTGATTGAGGGCAGTATAGGAATACCACGCCTTATTAGAATTTCAAAATCAGTTTTCATCTTTTATTCTTCTTACAATATATGGAGGTGTGAATTTTTTGTATATAAAACCCATCGTCATCAGTCAGAATGCACAAATTTCAAATAATGTAGATATATATATGTATTATTAGTTACACAGTGTGCTAGTGACCTAATACGATATATATGGGGTCAGTAAATTCCATAATCCTATATGAAATATACACGGTCCATCATATTCCTAGAAATGTATAGGTAAGATAAATATATATACTAGTATACATTTGACAGAAATGAAATTATACAGTGCCAGATCTGGTATTGCGTAAGAATAGGCAGTGCCTATTCCACATAATCATTCATTTAGATAAAATATAAATTTATTCTTAATGAAAGAGAGCGGATATAATGCTTGACAGTAAAATTTGAAATGTTCAGTTCCTAATAAATTTTCATGGGTTCGATACACAGAAAGTTTTATGCTACTAGTATCCAAAACTACTTAATATTGTTGATGGAAAAAGCTGTGAATATATAAAGCGAAAAAACACTGAACATGTAGGAGAGTTTTAAAAGTCTGAAATGGGATCTCGCGAGGATTTGTCGCTACCAGCATTAATCACATCTGTCAAAACACGTCGTTCAATTCCGTAAAGATGGCAACGGATATATATCCGAGAATAGCCGATTGCTTACAAAAAAAAAACGAACCAATGATACAAAATATAAAAAGACATCATCTGAAGGACAGCTTAGTTGTATGGTCTTTAACAACAAACAAGTGTCTTTACAATATGGAAATAACAAAAACGCTCCCTGTCTAGAAAGTATTTTATAAAAACAAGCGGTTGTATAGACTACGAATGACTTGCAGTTGTATTCTTTTTTACAATTTGTCTAACATAAAGTTCGAGTATTACACATGTGTTTGTCGTCTACTTTCTCGAAACTTAGGTTATTAGGTTGTTGTCTCATTGGCGTTAACAACCAGATCTCCTGTTTAATATCCATGTTGATAGGAATATCTATAAATAGAAAATAATCTTGAAATTCATTTATTTTTCAGTGGTATCGTGAAATTACTCGACATTGTCCTCATACACCTTTTATCCTGGTCGGTACTAAAAGTGATCTGCTCGATAGTAAAATGTCAAACAGCCATGGATGTTCTGGGTGTGTTCGAACTAAAGCAGAAGAATTGTGTAAACGAATACACGCTTTTAAATATGTGGAATGTTCTTCATTAATTAAAGATGGTCTTGACAATGTGTTTAACGTTGGTTTGCATTCTATATGCTCTGCTCAGACACATAATGGCGACAAAGACGAGGAAGAACAAAAAGCAGTGAAGAGCTGTGTTTTAATGTAATTGTAGTATCTTTGCACGCATTTTACTTGTACAACTTACAGGTAACATACAAAAATTGTTTGAAAAAAACTCGAATTAGGAATATATGACCCATATATGAAGTTATGTTTTACACTTGAGTCGATACCGCCCTTTTTCTTCATCTTCAATGTTATGATAATGTTCTGCAAACTAAACTATTCCCAGCATACATATGTATGTTTAAAACTAAGGTGCTTACCACAATATACATGCACAATCTCACGCATCTATGTTATTATTCAAACAAACAACAAAAGAGTATAAACATGTGAGTAGTGAATAGAAAACTATATATTTGTGAAAGAGTATTGAACAAAAGGTTTAAACTTGTTTGTATTTATAGTAATGCTTGTATGACTGCATGTTTATGTTTTTAAAAGATATGAAAAAAATCATTACGCATGCAACCTACTTTTAAAATTATATTTATTTACTATTATGTGTTTATATAATATTTAGACCTTTGTGATTTGATTGTATTGTATTGTATTTCTTTTTTCTTTTTTTTTAGAATTTATTGTATGACATATTTGAAAATCTTGAATAAAAACAATTAAAGTACTATAAGCAAACGTTCACATGGGAACTATATAGTCCCTCAATAGTTCACAAGAACAGCTATTAAAAACATTTATTTGAGGATAGATTTTTATTATATCCAAAAATTGTCAACAAAGGAGAACATTAATAAGTACAAAAAGTTAATTTTGTAATAGACAAAAAGAAGAATGTTAAAAGTTTGTAATTCTGATTTCATTCCAATATCGGCTAAGTATTAAATCGTTGAAATTGAATATTACGTTTCCTTTGCCTATAAGTATTCCATATATTCGTCGATTACGATCGAGTGAGCGAAGAATACAGAGAGAATCCGAAGTTATGATATCCACAGAATTTATGGTGGTATATTAATAAACTAATCATAGATACCAGGCTTAAAATCTTGTACTCCAGACGCGCTTTTCGTCTACAGAAGACTTATCAGTGACGCTCGAATAAAAAAAATATAAAAATGCCAAATGAAGAACGAAGTTGAATAGCATTGACGACCCAAAATTCCGAGAGGTTTTGCCAAATACAGCTAATCCTATAAAGGTAAATACAGCTATAGGGGTAGTCTATTCCTGGAGTAGAAAAATCCTTAGTATTTCAAACAAATTCAAAGTTGTGTGAACAGTTAATAGTAATTTATAATTATGACCATAGCAATGATAATTCAAGTCAACACACACAGAAGTGTTGACTACTGGGCTCGTGATACCCTCGAGGAGAAAACCTTCACCAACAGTGGCATCGACCCAGTGGTTGTAAATAAACTCATCAGAGATACCAGGCGTTTCGTCTACAAAAGACTTATCAGTGACGCTCGAATAAGAAAAGTTTAAAAAAGCCAAATAAAGTACAAAGTTGAAGACATTGAAGACCCAAATTCCGAGAGAAGTTAAAGCCATGTTTATAATTGAGAATGGAAGGAACTTAAACCTGCCTATTTAACAAAGAATTGTAAACTTGATGTGGAATGTGATTTTAACTTTATGTCATGTACTGCATTAAATATATGTCGTTTAGAATTATTCAATTATAATATATATGTTATTCCATCCTTTTCGCAGCTAAAAATTCATGCTAAGTATAAATGATTTTGAAAATTTGTAAAAATTAGAATCAGTTGAGCGTACAAGATGCATAAACTATATAAATCCTTAAAACAAGTATGATAACTATATGTTAAAATGTATATGTAGACTCATGTGAATTAACTATATGTTACAGTGTGTATGTAGACTCATGTGAATTAACTATATGTTACAATGTATATGTAGGCTCATGTGAATTAACTATATGTTACAATGTAAATGTAGGCTCATGTGAATTAACTATATGTTACAATGTATATGTAGGCTCATGTGAATTAACTATATGTTACAATGTATATGTAGACTCATGTGAATTAACTATATGTTACAATGTATATGTAGGCTCATGTGAATTAACTATATGTTACAATGTATATGTAGGCTCATGTGAATTAACTATATGTTACAGTGAATATGTAGGCTCATGTGAATTAACTATATGTTACAATGTATATGTAGGCTCATGTGAATATATAATCTTTTTAATAGTCCATGGGAGATAACCACAAGTGAAGACTTCGGCTGTGATAGCATTGATTATGCATTTTACCTCTTAATGTGTATTTGTGGTTTTTCTTTATAAATCGCCACATTGTTGTTGTTTTTGTTAGTGTGTTGCTTATATGTTTGTTCTTGATGTTAGTCCAATGTTTGGACTTTAATATCAATAAAAATATTTGATTTTGATTTCGTGTATAGTCTAGAAGCTAGTCAGTGTCCTCCGTTCTTTTATTTTTTATTTTCAATATTCATTTATTTGTGCAGGAAAAAGACAATCATGTCCAGGCGAAGCTTGATCACGCAGATGATACAACGATATATTGCACATTTATTTCTGAATTTCACTGAGCAATCTGTGCCGTATTAACGATAGGCTTTGGGTTTATAGTGTCGATTAATATATACTAGCAGTGGCGGATCCAGAGGGGGGCGTAGAGGGCGTACGCCCCCCCCCCCCCCCCCAACCCCCCCCCCCCCCCCCCACCCCCCGCCTTTTGCTTGCACTTTTTTTTTTTTTTTTTTTGTAAAATGATTAATCAGACTAGACTTCGTGAACTTTGCCATTTCCCGTGTATTTAATTTTTATGCGACAATTCTTTACTTATAAAGATACTTTTCGCTCGTATTTACTGTAATATATTATTGATTATGTCAAAGTCATGTGATTCTCTACGGTGGAGTTGACCAGTTCGTCGAAAAAAAACGTCACTCAGTCATTTTGAAATTCAAATTACAGTAACACATTGCTTAGGCTGAGGAAGACAAGCATGACGCCTTCAAAGCGACAAAGTATTGAGCAAGAACGTATTGACTTATATTTCACAATTCCACCCAACAGAAAGTAATACTCTATTACACTCTCATGAAAAAAAAGTTCCACAGCAATATTATTTACCTACGAAAACATGTTTAACCCCACACGCCCCAGCCCATTTATAACATTGCTGAATAGTGATCCCCAGTCAGTAAGCTCTAGATATACATTTAAAGTCTAAGGTACGAACCATTTGATCTGAAGGGGAAGTCTGAGATATTTTAGAGAAAAAATTCTGACCCTGATGTTTGCCTTAAACAAAAATTCTGGCCGTATCTGGATTGAAAATAATAATCTTGTACACTTTTTTTCTATTAGAAAAAAAAATTTTTGAACAATTATTTAGCATTATATGAACATGATAAATCAAAAAAGGGCGTAATTTTTTTTTTTTTTTTGGGGGGGGGGGGGGGGGGGGAAGGGGGGGGTTGCATGTGAATCCCATATCTGACCGGAATGTCTGTTTCGCCGAACTTATATACTGAATACTTTTTTCAAGGCCCGACTGCAACCTGCCTGCTGGGTGTGGCCTATATGTCTCCATGCGTCGACCGTCATTCACAACTTCATTGTCATTTCCGACTCATTCGTAGCCTTTGGTTGATTTGGAACCCCTCACTTCCCTTGTTGGGTGAAACATTTCAACCAAACATTTGGATGAAAATTGCTTGTTTGTCTTTCTTCGTGTCGGTCGTATTGTAAACTTCATTGAATAGCCGTATATCTTGTTTACAACAAGAATTCTGTGAGGTTATGCTAACTAACCATACAACAAACGAGATTTTTCCATGTCCATTTTTTACTGACAAATCCCACATCAAATATATTAATTAGTACATAGCTTTGGATCCATCCAATCATTTCATAATAGACAATTGATTGAGAAAATACGGCACCAAAAATGTCCAACCCCTACACTTTAACTATAAAATGCATTTTACACTTATTTTATGTTTTTTAGTGAAAAAAAGGTCCAAAAAAATTTTCGCCTCGCTCCGATCGGCGAACTTTAATACTACGCCCCCCCCTTTCCAAAATCCTGGATCCGCCCCTGACTAGCAACTTACGGGGGAATAAGTCAGTGTAACTATCGGATTTTTCACTAATTGGACAAATAGACAAAATCGGATGTGTATATAAAAAGGCGCTATGCAGAAAAACTGGCAACAGGCAAACAGAATATCAAGAAGTTTTCGATTCAAACAGTAGAACAAAAGTTGCTCAAAGCGATTCGGTCAATGGGAGATAACTCAACTCCGAAAAATAGAAAAAAAACTGTAATTAACGGGAACATCTTTTATTTCTTCATGGATTCCAAACTGTTACATGACAAGTTGCTGTTTGTCGATGAAAAATCTGAAGAAAATGCACAAATGTGTTATTTTAAGAGTGATCGACGGTTGTCGATAGATGTGATAAAAGATTGAAGTCATATTTCGAGTTCGATTGTTCGATATCAAAAAAACAAAAGATGTACATGGTATTTTTGTCAATGAGACAACTATCCACTAAAGTCCAGGGGAAATGGATTGTAACAATACAGGTCTCTGCACGATGAGCAACACCCATTTACAGTAAGCTATATATAAAAAGTACCGGGTATAAAAAATGTGAAACAATTCAAAATAAAAAAAAAAACGAACGACCTGGTGTAAGCTGAATACATTTATCGAAAATAAATTACGGCAAATGTCAACTGGCGACAAACATTGGAATTCATGCACCTTAATTGGTAAAGGCCGATGAAGAATGTGGCTGAATTTAACATGTTTGAGTCGAGCCATTTCCAACTCTTCGTTACAGTTTTTTCATATGTTGTGCTGTAACACCACTCTCCCAGATTATGGAAGGGTTGCGCGCCCACAAATATGTTTAACCTAGCAACATTCTTATAATATTAGTTACATAGTGTGCTAGTGACCTAATACGATATATAAGGGGTTCGCTATAAATGGGTCAGTAAATTCCATCGGGGTTCGGTCGAACCCCAAATGGAATTTACTGACCCATATACTAGTATATCATATTAGGTCACTAGCACACTGTGTAACGAATTTATCTTACCAACTATCTTAACATGTGGCATTTAGACTAGTGGCATATCAAAGTGATCAAGTCTTCAATATTAAGAACCTACTTCCATTGGTTTATGCAAAAAAAATGCCAACAATAACAACTAGTTAGCTTTTAATGTGTTTTCTGCATTTATTTCAATCGTTCATCCTCAATGTTTTCGTCGGTTGAAACCTTTCAGATTTTTCCTCAACATCGTGTTGTTTTTACAAAGGGTCGTAACACCACTATAGTAGTAACAAAAGGCCGATTCTGCGGCACATCTAAATTTTTAACATTTTTTTTTTAAATTATAAAAATTTAACTCTTACTCTTATCCAAATTTTTTACACCATTTTTTAAAAAAATGTTAAAAATTTGGGTGTGCCGCAGAATCGGGCTTTTGATACTACTCGCTACTACCGTGTATTGAAATAAACCACGCCTTCTAACCCCATATGAAATATACACGGTCTCCAAGCGGTTGCTTTTAACCAATCATATTCCTAGAAATGTATAGGAGGCAAGATAATATGTGCCTGTCCTAAGTCAGGAGTCTATAATTCAGTGGTTGTCTCTGGTAGCTGTCTATCATACTAGTATTTGTTTTTCGTTTATTGTTTTTCACAAATCAGGTTTTGTATTGAATTGATTCACGTTTTTTTCATGCATGTCGGGGCCTTTCACAACTGATTATACGGTATGGGTTTTGCTCATTGTTGAAGACCATGCGGTGATCTATAGATGCTTAAATCCAATCATTGGAAATCATACCACATCTCATTACTTCATATAGTAAGCGATCATTATTAGTTACAGTTCAAGTTAAACTGTCAGTATGAGTTTATTCGGAGCTGAGCTAGAGTGCGATGTAAACTTCTAGTTTAACTTTCTATGTATTATTCATTGTGCAGTTTGAATTACAGGTAAAGTAATAAATTTATAATTATCAAGTGCAAGTACAAATTAAAATTGCATCATAGACTAATTGACAGAAACATAAGTGTTGTGTTTTGCACATAGCTACTAGTACATCATTCTCAATATATTGAAGTTCCTTGCCAGTAGATTTGACACAAATGATTTGATATCCATATTGGATTTGTATTTAGAAACATCTAGTGCATGTAGGCGATGTTATTTGGACTCGGTGATACTCCACCAAATCATGCATCGTCATCAATGGATGTAAGGTGACTGTCCGAAGCTCTTTTCCTAATTAAACTTAACATGAATCACTAACGTTGAAAAAATTAAAAGCAAATGATAAATAAAGCACGATGAACTATATCTCAATCCAAAGGCCAGGGGTCTATTCCTGTAACGAATAATACTTTAGGTAAAAAAAACTTGCTTGACAAATATACTTTTTGATCACTAAATTTTGCCCGTTTAGAGAAATTTAAAAACATATTCATTACACATTTTTTCATTGTCTTAATATATAAATGTTGGCGTCATGACCCTCTGCATATGGCCTTTGTGTTCTATGGTACTAAAATTATTGCTAAGTGTGCTGAATTTTATAATCGTAAGAAAACGCCTGTTTGGCTTGTATAGGGGGAAAAGGATTGAAGAAGAAATTAGAAATGAAAAGACAGGACCGAAAATGTTTCAATAAAATCCAAGATAACCCATGCCCCCACCCCCAAAAAAGGCTGGATGAATATGTCTGTGCAACTGGACATAAACGTTGATACTTAGAAATGTTGTAAAAAATAAACAATTTTTTTACATTATATGACAAATAGAGTTACCGTTATGAGTTTTGTATTGTTGAAGGCCGTAAGGAGATCTGTAGTTGCTAACATCTATACGTCAATTTGTCTCTGGTGGATAGTTGTCTTATTAGCAATTATACAGTTCGGGACTAGATCCTCTTTGGTCAAATGAAACAAATTCATAGTTGTTTCAGGGTATGGTATTGATATAAGAATCACCTATCCATCTTTATTTTTCTTCTAAACATAATTTATCTTAAACAGTATTATGAATTTAGTAAATCTTTATGTGGGAGTACCAGCACCAAATTGAGATGTACAAGAAGCAAAATAGTTGTTGTCTGTGCTTTTTAAAGATGGCTTATAGCAATAAAGCTGACAAATAATTTTGTTCCAAGGTTGGTTTCATTTCTTAGGAAGTTCCTTGGTGTTCATCAAAACTTTTTAAATGTATGCCAGAAAATACATCTCCAACATATTTATCCGATGATTTTTCCTAGTCCGTGAATTAACTTTATACCGACTTGACATGGTTAAAACCTAGATATATGTCTGCAATAAAGACCACAGCCTATAACCGTTTATCGCTTCGGCAAATACAATCGGATCTGTTTTCCCCGATTGCTGTTCAAAGAAATTGTGTTTGTTTCGTGTACATCGGATTTTTGGTCGCCGTTCCGATTGTCATTTATTCATCCCGCACTTCCATACGGACACCCCACTTTGGTACGGTTTTTGGTGTTGGTCGGTCGGAAGAGGACCATGATGACCATATGTATATACCCAATCAGTATTTGTAACCATATTTGCATGCCAATCGATTCGTAAGCTCATGCAGCTCATAAATTGGTTTTATTCTTAATGACTTATCCTTTAATGGAAAAAACACCAAAGAAACATATTCTTCGAGAAAATCTATCCTTGTTTTTTTTTGTTTTTTTTTTTAGTTTTTTTTTTTTTGTTTTTTTGTTTTTTGTTGTTTTTTTGTTGTTTTTTGTTTGGTTTTAAAAAAATACTATTAGTATTAGTAAAATGTGACCTATGATTGCCAATGAGACAAATGTCCACCGGAGAAATATGACGAAGAAACTATAGGTTACCGTACGGCCTTCAACAATGAGCAAAACCCATACCGCATATTCAGCTATAAAGGACAACAATTCAAACGAGAAATCTAACGGCCTGATTTATGTACAAAACGATGAAAGAAAACAAATATGATATACAGCAACAAACGACAGTCATTGAGTTACAGGCTTCTGACTTGGGACAGGTCTCTTATGTTTGTTCTGTTAAATAGCCTGTAAGCATTCATGTGATACAGTGCTCTCAACATTCTTCCAGATAAGCACAAGAGAGAGGCGAAAGATACCAAAGGGAATTTCAAACTCATAAGTCGAAAATAGGCGACAACGCCATGGCTAAAAAAGAAAAAGACAAACAATAGTACACAAAACACAACATAGAGCTGAAGACTGAGCAACACGAACCCCACCAAAAACTGAGGGTGATTTCAGGTGCTTCGGAAGGGTAAGCAGATCCTGCTCCACATGTGGCACCCGTCGTGTTGCTCATGCTAGTACAAACCCGGTAATATTTCCCGGGGAAAGGGGACGGGATTGTAATTACGACATTTGGAACATATCCGCGATCATCTGTGAAACGGATATTCCATAACGGTCAACCAACTCGTGATGGCGTCCGTAAAATTTACGAAGGGATGATTTCAACTTCACCACTTGGAACTATTGATTTAATAGCTTCCTTGTGAGCAGCAACCCTCTATCAAGGAAATCATGATAGGAAATACAGTATCAACTGGGAGATATATACTCCGTATGCAGGCGCTGCTGGAATGTTGCTACATAGAAATGGAAAGTTCACAATTGTGCAGCTGAAATCATCTCTTTTGTCGTAAAGTTTTGTTTTCAACCGACCCTCATTGTTAATTTCTACATGTAAGTCAAGATATGAAGCAGACTTAACAGTATCTGTTGTATCCTTTATCTAAAGTTCGATGGGATAGATGCGTTCAACATAGTCAACAAATTTTGAATTATTTAGTGAGAGAACATCATCTATATAGCGGAAAGTAAAGTTAAAGGATAGTGCTAACTTCTTTTCTTTTTTCCTAAGAAGTCCCTGTATTCTGTCAGCCTCATATGAATAAAGGAACAAGTCGACAAGAAGAGGGCACAGTTGGTTCCCATGGGAATACCGATTAATTGTTGAAAAATACGTACTCCAAACGTAGCAAATATGTTGTCAATCATGAAATCATGCATCTTGATAATGTCAGTTTCAGAGTATTTTTTGTTTGAATCAGAGTGATTTTTTACAAAGTAGGATTTATCCCTCGCTAAGACAAGATACTTGTATCTAAGTTGGCCATTCTTTTTTATGAAACAAAGTAGGACCAACTCTTTTAATTTGGAATGGGGAATACTTGTGTAAAGTGTAGAAAAGTCAAATGTTTTAATACTATTGCAAGATGAAAGAGTCTTAGATTGTATGTACTCTAAAAGATCTTTGGATTTTTTTCAGTATCCACATCTGATTCACGCCACCTCTAGAATAGGTAGTTTCACAATAACTTTGAAGCCCGGCTTTGATTGCTGATAAAATTGATGTTAATAATTTAGAAAGAGGTTTCGTGGAGCACTTGGAAGACCCAGCAATATACCGTTGTTTGTAAGGACACTTGTGTAGTTTGGGTATCCAATAAAGAGATGGAAGATCCAGTTCTTCGTCTTTGGTTTAAATTCCAAAGGAACATACAACAGACCTATGATTATCAAGGACTTCCTCTTTTGGTAAGTGTCATGGAGGTATATGTTGAGTTTCCAAGTAAATTGTCAATACTTTATTCATTTATCAAGCAGTTTATGTAATGTGATTTACACACAAAAACGATGTTGTTTGGGGCTTTATCTGCGGGGACAACCACATATTTGTCATGGAGGTAGGACAAGTGTTTTGCAACATTTGGGTCTTTAAAGATTGATGTAGCATGGGTATTCATAGACCGATTCAGTTTCTTAATTCTGGTTTGTATCAACGACCTCACAGCCTTAATCCATTCGGAAAGAGTATCTACGTTTAATCCATTGCCTGGCATAATCCTCGACTGAATCCATCGGTATTTTGAAGTTGTGTTTCCAATTGATGGATTTAGGCTCACGATATTTCGGGCCTTTGGATAACACATTTTGCAGAAAAGTGTTATTGACAATGTTTAGGTCACCAGTAATAACGTGGCCATCCGGATTATATATTCATTCGGAACTAACACAGGTGCAATCAGGAGGTTTAGACTTGAAGTCGTCAATATTGAGATCATGCAACACGTGATTGTAATTAAAATTTTAGTTGTAATAGGTTTGGTATAGGTATAAGAAATGATGGGTATACAGACTGATCTTTAAAATAGGGAGGTATATCTATAACCTTCAAGTAGCCGCTAGAAATGACTTTGGTCGTATTAACACCGCATTCAACATGTTCAATAAGTACCCAAGCATTTCACACTGTATACATTACAAAAATTCATGTTTATCTTTCTTTCTCTATTGTATTTTTCACCTTTTTCATATTTATATATTCATTACAGAGCATGCCAGTTTTTATATTTATGTATTGTTCAATAAGTGTATTATTTGTGTAATAGGAGACAGATTTGTAAAAGCAAATTTGCTTGCTTCTGAATCCTAAATATTTATTCCAATTGTATTATATCGTTTTGTGATGATTTATCTGATTCAGAATAAATATTGTTTCAACTAACACCGCAAGTGGTAAAATTTATCTTGTAAACACGGTCATATTTGTCATTGCCTGACCCTTATATATATAGTTGAAAAAGGCATCTTTTCCCGACATGTCACAGCTAGTTTGACGTCGTGAAAAACAACATTTTTTTTTTTATTTTAGCAACGTCATTACCTATAATATAAATATAAATAAGAAGATGTGGTATGAGTATTAATGAGACAACTATCCATCCAAGTCACAATGTGTAAAAAGTAAACAATTACAGGTCAAAATATACGACCTTCAACACGGAGCCTTGGCTCACACCGAACAACAAGCTATAAAGGGCCTCAAAAAGACTAGTGTAAAACAATTAAAACAGGAAAAAAAACGGTCTAATCGATATATAAAAAAGAGAAACACTTATGAACAACCACTGACCAACAGGTGCATAAAAACGCAGCGGGTTTAAACGTTTTAACAGGCGCCAACCTTCAACCTAACCTGAAACAGTGGTATAACATTACAACATAAAAAGACACACAATAAAATATCAATTGAAATGGCGTAACTCGATCAAAAAGACAATACAAAAAAATAAGTAAATATACACTGAACGAATAAGTTTGATCTATGACACAATATAAATAAAAAAGATGTTTCGATGTCAAAAAGACAATTTTAACCTAGTACAAAATGGCGTTAATTAAGTAACTTACACAGGTAAATTTAAATATAATAATTTTGTTGTTAGTACAGAAACATTTTTTACAAAATAAATTTGTTATACTTCAATGGCCTAGCCACTGGAAAAAAAATGTTAACATGGGGTCTAGTGGCGGCAGCCCCTCCCCATTCACAGAAGGTGAACGATTATAGTAAAATTCTTATTGACAAAAAAAAATTTTAAAAGTTTTATAAAATTATTTGTTAGTACATGCTTACAATGCTACACTGGTGCTTCGCCACTAAAGTTTATCTTATGTCCTTAATTGGACTTAATTCAGTGATTCAAGCTCACCTGGGACTATTATACATGTACTAACAATATATTATGTCCCAGATCTCACTATTCAGTAAATTATCGTCTTCAAATGTCATATGGTGACTGCTCTATGTCTTTTTTTCATTTTCAGTGCAAATTCAAATGTAATGACACATAACATAAAAAAGGGATAGAACTATCTTCCAAAGGGACACAATTTGTTCCCATCGGAATATCAAGAAACCGGTTTAATAGTTGAGACTGAGTACTATTCAACAGAGCAAAAATAAATGCAATCAAGCCGAAATGATTGACAATAATTTCATTGCATTATTTTTTTTTTCAGTGGATATTGTAGATCATTGTACACTCTATCTGAAAATGTGTATACATGTATACCTATCTTCCAGAAATCAAACCAAAAAGCAAATTATTTTACTGTACTCAGTGAGGCGAGTTGACTTTTGATCACTTTTGTAAAACTGCAGTACTACTTTTAGACATTGTTCGTAGTGTTTAAATTGATCTTGGAAGTAATGTATTTATATAATACATGTATTTTTATCTATGTGTTCTTATTTGGTCATATTTATAACTTTTGATCAAATTATTTATAAAGTTTTCGCAATTTTTTTGTTCAGAGCATAAGCGGTAAGGATTGCTCTCATCCGGGTCTCAGAGACTATTTTTGGACGTTCTAAAAATAGCGGAAGTGAGTCGGTATATAAAACTTTCGACGGCCATTTTTTGGTAGTGTTTATGAAGAAGAGGTGGAGTGAAATTCTTAGTGTTTAGTGATTTATATAAACAATTAGACATTATAGTATCTAAAAATGCAGGCTATAAAATGTGTAGTGGTTGGTGATGGGTAAGTAACATATAAAACTTGATTCAGGAAACTTTTTAGAGTTTGGTCAATGCGGAAATGACCGTCCCAGTTTACGAACAACAGGTAAACATGTAATTAAAATAAAACATCGCCCAGACACTGAGTCTTGCCTATTTTAATTCAAAGATAGATTGTGAATGAATTTTCTTAGACAGGCCTGCAACTTTAAAGGGGATATTGTCGACATTCCTGAGGTGGCATACATTGAATATGTAAGCAAGGGCGGATAACTCGAAAATTAAGTGTAGAAAATGTTGTCAGTGTGATTTATGAAACCACATTTTTACCTCCAATTCAGGTTGTTGGTTTCTGTTCTATTAATGAAAAATGTTTATCAGTTGTCTGATTTTTTTTTATTGCAGTACTTGTCTAGAGAGGATTGGAAATGCCTATCTCTTTAATCATTTCCATATATTTATATGTGTACAGAATGTGTTTTCAATGAGAATGGTCATGAATTGTATTTAGTATGTGCCTGCGGGGGCGCTTTATTTAAAAATAAAGACCTTTGAACTATTCCCTTTTCTGTACATTCAACTGGCATTTAATATTCAAAGATGATATTCATGATATTCTTAACTTGCACCTAAACCTTGTACAGTAAAATATATCTTTTTCACCTGGTTTGTCATGTTTGTACCACTTTGAAATTAATAAATAATTACATTTGGAACATTTTTTTGATAGATGATACATGACCACACAAGTTTTTTTTCAATAAAGTAAAATCTTAATTTTAAACTTAAAAGTTTAAGGTGAAAATCGGTGGATTCCACATGTCTTTACCACCTTTACAATTATTGGTGGTGTCTGATAGTCATTAATGGTCTTGCTGTATCAATAATAGACGACTTTCGAATTCATGCACTTTCCCATAATCTCCAGATATCACATTGCTTATATGTATGAATCTAGCAATTTTCCAAAAAAGGGTAATTTTTTAATGACTTGCATGTACAATGTATATACATTTTGTAAAGGCTATTTGGTCATGTAGATTTAAATAATAAATCGTATAGCAATAAAATTTCATGTTCTCACTATTTAGCTACTAGACTCACCATGGTCAAAAATTATGAGTCCCTGGACTCTCCTTTGAAAATACCTAGCATTCCTAGTGAGAATCCTGATCAGTTAGTATTTAGGTTTAGGTTAAAAAGTAACAAAAAATATTTTACATAAGACTATACATGTGATATGAACATGTAGAATGCGAATATTCTCGACTTCAACAGTGCTCTAAAAAAAATATCTTACAGAGTTTAACCAAAATGACCATTAAACATTCTGGAAGGTAAGGAGACAGGAAACAAAAATTGGTTTTTGTCGAGCCTTCGACTTTTGTTGAAAAAGCAAGACATAGCGATCCTACATTCCGTCGTCGTCGTTGGCGGCGTCCACAAATATTCACTCTGTGGTTAAAGTTTTTGAAATTTTAATAACTTTCTTAAACTATCCTGGATGTCTACCAAACTTGGACAGAAGCTTGTTTATGATCATAAGATAATATCCAGAAGTAAATTTTGTAAAAAAAAATCCATTTTTTCCGTATTTTACTTATAAATGGACTTAGTTTTTCTGCCAGGAAACATAACATTCACTCTGTGGTTAAAGTTTTTGAAATTTTAATAACTTTCTTAAACTATCCTGGATTTCTACCACACTTGGACAGAAGCTTGTTTGTGATCATAAGATAGTATTCAAAAGTAAATTTTGTAAAAAAAAATCCATTTTTTCCGTATTTTACTTATAAATGGACTTAGTTTTTCTGCCAGTTAACATTACATTCACTCTGTGGTTAAAGTTTTTAAAATTTTAACAACTTTCATAAACTATCCTGGATTTGTACCAAACTTGGACAGAAGCTTGTTTATGATTAAAAGCTAGTATCTAGAAGGAAATTTTGTTAAAATTTTGTTCCATTTTTTCCGTATTTTACTTATAAATGGACTTAGTTTTTTTTCCGGTTAACATTACATGTACATACAGTCTGCAGTTTAAGTTTTTAAAACATTTATTAGATTCATAAACTATCCTGGATTTTTACCAAACTTGGACAGAAGCTACTTACAATCAAAAGATAGTATAGAGAGGAATATTTTTATTAATTTTTTTCCTCATTATTGTTGAGCCTGTACATGTGATTAACAGCAAAAGTAGGCGAGACACTGGGTTCTGCGGAACCCTTACAAATTTTTGGTCTTTATATTTACAATTGCTGAAATAAAAGTTATACCAACTTACAAAATGTATATATTAGTGTGACAGCTGGTGACATATAATCAAAGGTCATTGTATTTAGGGTTACTCTGTCTCTTTGGAACAACTACATGTACATACTAGAATAAACAGTTCATCATCATGATGGAGTCGGTACGTCATAATCATTAATCTACCGTGTACAAATGTAGATGACCAATTGTATTGCTACATTCATCATCTTCTACATGTTCTAAGAAAATGTTTTTCTATGGCTGTCCGATTTTGTCATCTCCACATTTTAGATTGTACTACAGGTATATATATATATATGATCCATCGCCCTGTGAGATTTATTGTTGGCTATTATTCAGACATTTTATATATATATATATACGTACGCAGTTGATTAAAACTTCAAGAAAAATATACAGACCCTTTCCATTTTTATCTATGAAATTTAAAAAAAAATTGTTATGTTAAAGTTCTTAATTTAATTGTTTCCTTACTGACATTGTATTGCATCATGTGTTAAATAACTCTGATTTTACATTGTGTTTAAATGCAAAAAAAAAAATAATTGAAATGAAATTATCCTTCCTATAGCCCCAAAATATGTTTGACTGTCCATGAAGTCGTGAATATATTTAATGTAAATTTTATTTTTCCTCAAAATATTAGCATGGTTAGTGCACATGTAGAATCATTGATTTTAGTAAAAAGTCATGAAAGTGTTGATTCAAATATACAAGTCCACACATTCTTGTACAATTTAAGTGCTTGCCTAATTATGGCATCAGTGAATGAAATGTTTGTGTAACATTTGACATAAATCTGTTAATTTGTTGACATACTTATTGACTCATTGTCACCTGGGGGAAGGTTGTCATTCCTGTAACAACCTTGTCCTTAACTTTACCTTGGTCATAGTATTGTCATTTATTCAATGATTATAAGCATGATTATCCATCATAATTTTTGAAATTGGAGCAAAATAAATAGAATTACTGAAGGCAATTATTCCGTAATTTAAAAATTTTCTGTGATAATTTGGAGTTGATTTCTTTTTTAACATTAACTTTTTATTTTATAATTGGTAAGGTTAATTTCAAATATATATATATATATTGTTTTGTATAGAATGATAATTCTCGTTCTATATAGGGTTTGATGTATGCTTTTGTTTTATGATTAAACCCACCAGTATTTAATTGCATATATAGATAATCTGATTTTATGCTAAATCCATATTTCCTCTGAAAACCCTTTCGTTGCCAGGTTATAAAATAGGAGTCTGGAGATGACGGATTTAAGTAACGTTAGGTTACCTTACATGTACGTATGTACAGCTTTCAACAAGAGCACAAAACACATACTGTAGTGTACATGTATAGTCAGCTATATAAAATAAACTGACATGACAAATTGTGAAACATTTTTAAACAAAAATACAAATATGTTAGACAGCAATCTTCATTATACAACAAACACTGAAAAATAGACTGCTCTCTTGGGACAAACACACAGATTGTTTGTGTGCATTTATGGCCGGCAAATTTTCAAAAATGTCATAAGGACCTAACAGCTTCGGTTCCGTAGCTAAACATACATGTACGCGTAAGACCAAATTGTAACTTCTTTTGTATTCTTTTGATTTTTGAAGAATAAAAAAAGGACAAGATGATCTGGCTTAAAATGTGAGCTGAATATGGAAAATATTAGTGTAACCCCCCCCATTTGTAACAGATTCTTTGCTTTGGATCAAGGGAAATGGAATGATAAAAAAGTTGACAAGATCTAAATGTTTACAAAACATAAAACAGAATAGAAAAATTATGGAAATACAGTGTTGCCTATTTCATGAATTTAAAGCACAACAACTCACATTAAATCAAACCATAGATAAAGGCATGTGCATATTAAAATAACAGTTGGATTTAGAAATGTGCAAGTGGCTTCCATTATTTTAATCATGGCACGATGATGAGTTATATAGAGAATTTTTATGCCAGCCATGATTTATTAATTTATTATAGTTTTAATAATCTACTATATGAAGGGTAGATAAGGACATACCAAATTAATTATTAAATAAATGAAATATGGAATGTATATACAATGTATCATACTTTTCCATTATTAATGAAATCATGAGGGTCACTTATATCAAAAGATTACTCTTGCTTGCCAATCTCTTTTATTGTACATTGTTATATGTATCTGATGTATTCAAATTATATAATCTAAATACAGTGTGTCTACAATTTAAAAAATATCATGCAAGACAAACCTGAAAAATTAACTTCTAACATGTACATATCATTCATCTATTATTATAAAGTTCTGATTAACTTAGGCCATACCAAATTAAATTGTTGCTCTATTATTATAGTGTGAGTTCGTGGTCTAGTGGTTAAGACCGATGGCTATAGTGCTGAAGGTCCCAAGTTCGATTCTCACTCGGGGTGCTAAACATATCAGTACATCAGAAGGTTGATTTTCACCCTCTCACACACATCTCTCAGACTCTGGTACCTAGACCGGAGTTTAAACTAGAATGGGTACTATGGGGCCTCGGTTGGTCAAAGTTGTTCCCGACTTTGACCTGGAGATCAATCTGCTGATATCTTTTTGGTTTGTCTGTTCCCGCCGAGCAGCCCGGTGGTTCTCTCCGAGTACTTCGGCTACCTCCACCATAATAACAGATCCGCCCGGTGTCCTAACACTCCCTGGTGTTGGGTTGGGGATTGTCCTTGTAAATATTGAACATTGTAAATACGTTAGTGACACATCTCCATTAATCCCGATAGGGAGTGTTCACGGATTCCACTGTACCCTCGCAGCTCTCGAGGGGTGCTCCGTAAACGGAGGGATCTACGTACATACATACATATTATAGAGGTCAGATTAACTTAGGCCATGCCAATTTACATTGTTGCTGTAGATTTTTTTCTGCTGGAAAAACTCAAGTAGCTGTCATTCTTTTTATGCCACACCTAGGAGCATTATGTTTTTTGGTCTCTGCGTCCATTCATTCGTCCGTCTGTCCCGCTTCGGGTTAAAGTTTTTGGTCAAGGTAGTTTTTGATGAAGTTAAAGTCCAATCAACTTGAAACATAGTACACATGTTCCCTATGATATGATCTTTCTAATTTATGCCAAATTAGAGTTTTTACCCCAATTTCACGGTCCTCTGAACATAGAAAATGCAAGTGCGAGTGGGGCATCCGTGTACTATGGACACATTCTTATTTACTTCTTTATTTTATGATAATGTACATAATGTAGGTCTATAATTGATGAAGAGTCTACTATATGCAGTACAAGTAATAAATTCTATTCATTTTTGATACATATAGGATAGTTTTGATAGAAGTGATCATTCCTTTTTCCTTCCTATGGTTATAAATTAAAAATCAAGAATATATGAAGTAATAAATAAATACATTGATGTATGCTTTTAATAAAAATAAATTCTAATAGAAAATTTAATCTAAATGTTTTATGAGAAAGCAGGTCCAAATTTGTATGTGTACTAAATAAAATGTAATGTGGAGCATTATTATGTACATTTGTATAAACATTGCTTTGGTCTCACAAAAGGATGTCTTAAAATGTGTTTATTTGTATATTTCAGTACTGTTAAGAATAATCCTAAAATGCTTTTATTTTTATATTTCAGTGCTGTTGGTAAAACCTGTTTACTGATCAGTTACACAACAAATGCTTTCCCAGGAGAATATATTCCTACAGTGTAAGTATTATAGTATTTGAACTTTGCAGTATTCAGTTTGAAAGACTGATGTTAAGATTTCTGAAAGTCAGGGTTACAGGTAATCTTCTTTAATGTGTGTTAATTTTATAATTGTTATAAGTGCACTAAATTGACTATATCCTGTATCTATCTTGTTTGTATCTATCAATATGGCATTGTCGGTCAACATTTTCAGATTTTCAAAAAACAATTTTTTTTCTGTGACACATTTGCAAAAATCAGGTTTATAAATTGTGTGTTTGAATGCATATTTAGGAGATAACCCTTGGTAAGGGGAGATCATTTTTTTGTTCAGTAATTTGCTTGTTTATGCAAGTTTCTTCAAAGTTTTTTAAGTGTTCTTGAGAAACTGTTAGTTCTTAGAGCTACAGTGGTTTGTATGATAGAGAAAATGGGGGAAAGGAGGAATCAAGGACCATAACTCCTGAACGGTAAAAGTGGCAATTATCAATATTTAACTGGACCTCCATTTTATTATCAGTAACAACATATTAAAATTTTAAAAGCTTTGGTTGAACCGTTCATGAGTTAAAGCACGGACACAACTGGAAACACCATTTTTCAATCTTTCAAGAACCACAACTTATAAACGGTGAAAGTGAAAATCGTCAATATCAAACTTGACCTCCATTTTGTTATCAGTAACAACATATTAAAATTTTAAAAGCTTTGGTTGAACGGTTCATGAGTTAAAGCAAGGACACTACTGGAAACACCATTTTTATACGCCCATTTACGGGACGTATTATGGTACATGTATACCGTTGACCGTCTGTCCGTCCGTTGTCAACATGTTGGACATTAATTCAAAAATGCTTTAACCAATATGCATGAAACTTTGGTGAATTGTTTATATCTATGAACGTGAGCTCCCTTTCGTTTTTTATAAATTTCAGATTTATCATTTCCGGGTTTTGGGGTTTATTCATTAAAAAAGGGAGATTTTCCAGTTTTCGGACAATAACTCAAAAACAATTTCACCAATTAGCATGAAACTTTTGTGAATTGTTCATATCTATTGATGTGAGCTCCCTTTCGTATTTTATAAATTTCTGATGTACCGTTTCTGAGTTTTGGAGTTTTATTCATTAAAAAAGGGGGGGTTTTCCAGTTTTCAGACAATAACTCAAAAACAATTTCACCAATCTGCAAGAAACTTTGGTGAATTGTTTATTTCTATTGACATGAGCTCCCTTTTGATTTTTATAAATTTCAGACTATTAAATTTCCGATTTATGGGGTTTTATTCATTACAAAAAGGGGGATTTTCCAGTTTTCAGACAATAACTCAAAAATGCTTTCAGCATTTTTTATGAAACTTTGGTAAATTGTTTATATCTATTTTTGTAAGCTCCCTTTTGATTTTTATAAATTTTCGATTTTATGTTTCCGAGTTATAAGATTTTATTTGTTAATAGTCTGACAACAGATTTACTAAGTATTACGCAACAGCACAGTGTATTGCACAACAGCAAGAAATCTTTCATATAACCAATTTCAAGTTCTTTGACTACATTTATTCAGAAACCTATAATATATCAAATATTTAATTACAATCCAAATTCAGACCCGTATCAAGCTTGAATATTGTGTCCATTTTTGCCCCAACTGTTCAGGGTTGGACCTCTGCAGGCGTATCCATCTGCGCTCAGCGAAGCAGTTTATTCAATCTTTCAAGAACCATAACTCCTGAAGGTGAAAGTGAAAATCCTCAATATCTATATTGACCTCCATTTTGTCATCAGTAACAACATATGAAAATTTGAAAAGCTTTGGTTGAACGATTCATGAGTAAATGCATGGACACTGTTTGGCAGCCGCCCGCCCAGATGCTCGCCAGCCTGCTGTACATCCCCAAATTAATAACCGAATTTTCCTTCAGAATGAAAATTAAAAAAGATTAAATGAAAAAAGTAAGAACTGTAAATATTATATTATTGACAAGTTAAGAAAAATGCAATCTTTTATAATTATTGTGTTAGTTTTGTATTTGCAAAGGAAGGAAACAAACAATGAACATAGCTTTAATGCACATTATATAATAATACTCAACTAATTGACATCAAATTTGTTTTTAAAAAATCTGAATTCGTTCATTCAACATATTATTGTATGCATTGTGTACAGTTAGTATAGACTTACCAGGAACAATTTGTTATGTTTAACAAGTCAAAAATATTTTTAAAATGATTTAAAAGTAGGTTATTTAGTCCAGGAAGTAGTTGAGCACTTATTAACTAAATTGTTGACACAATTGATAAATTCAGTAAGGTTGAAGTTTTATGAAACAAGAGCAAGTCTATTTATGGAATAGTTTGAGAAATTTCCTTGTTTTTTATCATGTTTATTGTTTCATAAATTTTAAATAACTTCTTTACTATGACAGGTTTAAAAATACTTTTCATCATGTTTGTAAGGCATACAAATTTAGGGTTTGAATTTTATTGTTTAATGATGCTTTGTATATTGAAATGGCTATACACAGGTTACCAAAATGACTTTCTTTTAACCAAAAAAACAGAAACCAAATTGTGGATAGAACATAAAAAAATATTAGTTTACTAAAAAAAGATTTTTGACATTTATTTAAAAATACTTTTAGTATATACCACCCCTGCATTTATAAAAAAAATGTAATTTGTTAATAAGTACTTAAAATATTAGCCCTGCATAAAAAAAGAAAAAGATTTTTGACAATTGAAAGGTACTTTTGATATTACACCTGCTAACTATTTATGAAATATTTCTCATTTTTCATATTTCCTTTACAATATGATTATGACATGGTTGAGGAGGTGTATAATTACATGATTAATTTTGAAGAGGATTGTGATACACAGGAAATGACAATATAAATTGATGTCAATTTGGGAAGTAGTAAATTATATACATGTAGGGAAATATAATTTATGTAAATTAAATTCAGCCTGTCAAAGGTTAAAGGGATTGTAATTATAATAACAATATGAAGTTAACATTTTTGCTACTCAATTTTCCTAAAATTTAAAGTACAAAGATATGTGTACACATATCAATCATATCAGTGCTTTATCTACATGTATATATATAAATGTATGTTAATTACATAATGTACATTTGTAGTTAAATATGTATATAAAATAGGTTCAAACCTTAACTGTCAGCATGTAAAAAGATCATAAGGATTTTGAGTATACACAAATTGACAAATGCTTAAATTAAAAAAAAATATACATATATTACATACATTAGTGATTTATAATTAGAAATGTACCAGGTAGTTTGGAACTCAAAAGAACATGAAGAAGGACAGAAAGTCATAGACAAAAAGTCATGGACTAAAAGTCATTGACAACACAATTCAGTTTTGAGATTATTTTTCTTTGAATAAAAAGAACATTTTTGTAATTTCTTGAACTATTATGTATAAAGCTTCTTTGTAAACAAAATTTATTTAAAAAAAAAAAAAAAAATGATCAAATAATTGTTCAGAAAAGTGACTTGGTACTTAAATGGCTTCATAGTGCCATGAAATATATCCATTGCATGATTAAAATTTGATAAATCTTCATTTATCAAGACTTTTGAACAATTTCTTTAACTGTAAAATAAATATATCAATATATATGTTATTAAAATTAATTATTTCAAGAACTTTCTCTTATATATTCATAAAATTATAAACAAATTATTAGTGACTTTTTGTCCTGTCAAATTTGTGACTTTTTGTCCACCTACAGTGAAACTCTATAGCCCATAAAACACATGCTACCAAGCAATTGCATTTTTATACGCCTGTTCACAGGACGTATTTATAGTATACCGTTGTCCGTCGTCAACATGTCGGACATTAACTCAAAAAGCTTCAACCAATTTGCATAAAACTTTGGTGAATTGTTCATATCTATTGATGTGAGCTCCCTTTCGTTATTTATAAAATTTAGATTTTACGTTTCTGAGTTGTGGGGTTTTATTCATTAAAAAAGGGGGGATTTTCCAGTTTTTGGACAAGAACTCAAAAAGGCTTTCACCAATTTGCAAGAAACTTTAGTCAATTGTTTATATCTATTGACATGAGCTCCCTTCTGATTTTTATAAATTTTAGATTTTATGTTTCCGAGTTGTGGAGTTTTATTCATTAAAAAAAGGGGGGATTTTCCAGTTTTCGAACAATAACTCAAAAATGCTTTCAGCAGTTCTCATGAAACTTTGGAGAATTGTTTATATCTATTGATGTAAGCTCCCTTTCAATTTTTATAAATTTTAGATTTTACATTTCCGAGTTATGGGATTTTATAAAAAAAAGGGGTGATTTTCTAGTTTTCGGACAATACCTTTAAAGTGCTTTGAGCAGTTTTCATTAAACTTTGGTGACTGGTTTATATCAATGAATATAACCTCCCTTTAGTTTTTCACAAATTTCTGATATGACATTGAGAAGTTATTGAACTTTATTCGTAAAAAATGTGACGGCGTATCATGCGCTCGTGGCACAGCTGTTTATTAAATGTTTACTTTAATATGACAATTAACAATGATTAAATAATTCGACTGAAATTTTAAGTAAAGTAATTCACATACAGTTCTTCTCAGTTTTATTAAAGAAAAGTGATTGTGTTCTGTAACATTACTTTAGAATATTGTAACATGTATATATGCCATTTTTTTTCTTTCATCATTTGACTTGTGTACGTACAACACTGTACAATACCTTGGAAAAAAGATTTCAGCTGTTATAGAAAATATTTTAACCAAATCTGAGGTTAACTTTGTGTTGGCAGGGTAGGAGTGGGTTGTTTTTAAAAAATCGTTGAACATTATGTAATAACAAGTCAAATGCTTTGTGGTTTATAATTGATTTAAAAATATCCATGAAGGAAGTTATTCTCTAAGGTCCTTTCAATTGGAAGCAACTGATACTCACTACACTTATATGACTACATTTAGTCCCGACAACTCTAGAATTTCAGGAAAATATTTTTTCTCAAGATGAGAAGTTAAAGGAAACTTGAATATATATAGGGAAATATTAAATTTAGTGGTTTTACTGATCATGAGAAATTATAATTTACCCTACACAAATATTTCAATGACATTATGTTCAAGGCCATAAAATACAAACAGTGTACACCTCAAAGATTAAACTGTTCTTTCTAATAAGGACCCAAACTGCAATCAAAAACAGACGCAAAAATAATCAAACATGTATTGTGAAACTGTATAGAAAAAAACATTCTTTTGTTTTCTTTTATATGTATGATAATTTATTTACATCAGTATCTTGTAGATTTATGTTTTTTTTGCATGGGGGTTTAGGTCATGCAGGTAGTGCATTTCATATACAATGTACAAAACAAGACATGATGTACTTTTAATGCTTGATTTTCACAATGAGTACCTTACTTGTACCTTATTTTATATATTAACTTCAAATGCACATATAGAAAGTAGTTTTATTTTAACAATGGCATCAATTTGTTTGAAATGGTTTTACAATTGACAGAGAAAAAACAAGGTCGGTCTTATTGATTCATAAAGCAGCTCATCTAAAGGTCAAGTTGTGTTTTCAGATTATGAATGACATATGCAGTTCAAATTTATTACAAAAGGACTAGTACTTCCAATTTTGAAAGGATTTTAAAGAAAAGAAGTCAAATGCCATTGAGATAGTATGTTTTTACTTTGTGTCTACACTATATCTCTTGAGAATTCTGTCATTTCCATCTGCCCATGGTTTGATCATGTTGAGTGGGTACAGAATGGGCTAAACTTGTAAACAGTCCTCTATGACAACCTTTTGTGGTACCAGTGGCAGATTCTGAAAGGGGGGGTTAGAGGGAGGATCAGGAAACATATTCGTTTTTGCTTAAATTTTTTTTAATTGGCTAACCTACACTCTTCAATATTTTTAACATCCTTAATGATTACATTCCCACATTCCTCGGACCCTGGGTACCCATCTTTCAGTCTATATATGTCTTTAAAATTTAATTAAACTAAATTTTAAAATGTGTAATGGTGTCCTTTGTTGAATATATTTGTTTATCAGGTTGAAGTGACTGTTAAGCATTATTTGTAAATCTTATTCTAACATGTATTATGCATCTTCTTCCATATTTTAATTGGTTGACTTTTAATTTTTTTTTCAGATTTGATAATTATTCTGCAAATGTTATGGTAGATGGTAAGCCAATTAATTTAGGATTATGGGATACAGCTGGACAGGAAGATTATGACAGGTTACGTCCCTTGTCATATCCACAAACTGTAAGTTTGACCATTGTCCCAAATGATTCTAGATTGGAAATGGACATTCTGATGTGATTTCAAAAAGATAAACTAATAGTACATGTACATGTATGTACAAATTAAAAAACTGAAAGGCAGCTGGATAGCAAAAGGTTAAACGATTCAAAAAGGGCAATTAGCAGCTCTATGAATAAAGTAGATTCTAAAGGACTCATTGAAATTGGACATTGGTAATTATCAATGTTGAAAAAAAAATAATTTGACCTTGATGAGAACAAATATTACCAGATATGTCAGCCTTAGGATTCACAGTTTTAAGAAACAGCAACCTAGCAACACACTGAAACTAAATTAAATAAAAAAGAAATATATCAACTTACTTTCATTTCAATGGGCTAAGATGTGAATACATTTAAACAAGTTACAACACCACCAAATTTCTTAATAGAAAAAAATTTATTAAGACATAACAAATGAGATACTACTCAGCACAAGCATATATCAACAAATGGTCATGTGATGGGTTAAACTAGTTTAATGAATTTTTAAACCATCAATCTTTTTGATAAAGTGCAAACTAAGCAGCACATTGAGGAACTCTTTTACTTTGTCCAGATTCTAGAGAGAAAGAGATATCATGATCACTGGCCATGGGCTTAAAATGAAAACTCATAGTCTGACCACTTTTATTTTTGCCCATTTTAGAAAAAATATACCACCTCAGTGCACAATTATGTACCATTATTACACATATAAAATTAAGGAGATATGGTATGATTGCCACAAGAGACCAAATGACACAGAAATGAACAAATATAGGTCACCCGTATGGCCTTCAACAATGAGTAAAACACATACTGAACAGTCAGCTATATAACGCCTCGAAATGACAAATGTAAAACAATTCAAACGAGAAAACTAACGACCTGATTTATGTACAAAATAATGAACGAAAAACAAATATGATATACAGCAACAAACACCAACCAACCACTGAATTACAGGCTCCTGACTTATTTATTTTATAATATATATGAATAATTAACAAATTACTTTATTTTTCAGGATGTGTTCCTTATATGTTTCTCTCTGATAAGTCCAGCCAGTTTTGAAAATGTTAGAGCAAAGGTAAGGATTTGTTGTGTAGATTATCAGTGTGGTGTACAACTACAAAATTTAGTCTATTTACTAAATGGATATACATAGAAAAAAATGGTATCAAACCACATGACAAGGTATATTTTTACCAACAGTATTTTGTGATCCCCTTGAAAAAGTAACTTCCTCCCATCATGTCACAGATGTATAAAAGGACTTCCAACAGTTCTTAAGATTTTTGTCAATCTTTGACAAGGAAAAAACATTTTTTAGATGTTTTATATGTCATGTATGTAATCTTAAAGTTGCACTGAAGGTCATCATGGTTACTGCTTTTAAGTTTATTTGTACGAAAATAAAGTACATACTGTAAACTGACTAATTTTCAAGAGCAGTTTATTTCTGTGTTTTTAGCGAGTAGAAAATTACGCAAATATTAATCGTTGTGAAAATGAAAAACTTGGGTGTCTCCTATATACATATAAATGCATTAAAAAACAGAAAATTGTTAAAATAAATCACTGTTTCTTTGAAATGTTCTACCACATGTCTGCTGAACTACTCCATAAAACATGTATAAGGTTATCAGTATCACATCATAAAAAGCTTTAGCTGCTCTTTTGTCAAATTTTATGTGCATTTTCTTGTATTTACATTTTATTGTGCTATTTAAATGAAAAAGTATAATTTATCCAAATTAATGCATTGTAATACCAGCAGCCAATTTAAAAAAAAAAAAGGAGAGTTAAACGGGAATAAGCATGATATCTTTCCTGGAATTAAGCGAATCGCGTCATTTGAAACGAAAAATTTCAAGAATACATGTAAAAAGGTAACTTTTTATTTCAAATTCTCGCCAAAACATACTGCCTAATTTTGGGAAAGATTTGCTTACTGCTTGTTCACAGAAAATCATTTAAAACACATTTTAAAATGCTTCAATTAACATGCAATTGCTTCAATTTTTATATGGAAATAACATTAAAGGAATGATTTAAAAGTAAGGTTATGATTTCATTGCACATGGAAAATGTTTCAAAATAAATGTTATCAGGTATGCACATAATCCAAATTTAGCCAAAAACACAAACAGGAAACAGAATATCAAAATCTGCAAGGGTAGGAATAGATCTCCAGCATCCAAATACTTAGGGAAAACTTTTTATGTTAACTATAATTGGAAGTAAATCAGCTGGTTGATGAAAAATAAGTTAACTTTATAACATGTTTAACATTTCTGGGGGAGAGTTGTCTTATTGGCAATTATACCACATTTTCTTATTTTAAGTTGTCTTAATTTACAAAGACTAATAAAACAAGCTTCACAAGCCTTTTACAGGTGTTTCATCCCATTTTCTACAAGCTTTTACATGAATTATAAAAAAAACATTACTGGTAACCAATAGCAAATTATTACATTAATGCTGAAAATCATTCATAACTTTTCTAAATGTATGGAAACCAGTTATTCTTAAGGTAACATGTAATGATTTTAAATAGATGGCATTTAATATATAATGTTTAAGGTAACCACAAAAAACTTAACCATACCACTTTGATTATCTATTAAGACTTTTTTCTTAAAAGGAAATCAGATAAAATATCACTAATCATGCTAATGTAGAATATGCTGCTTTTAGACGCAAATCAGAAAATCCTGTAATGGTGTCATTGTTAGACAAATTAGGTTTATAGTTATCAATGTGTTGTCTTTTTTATAATATATATTGGGAGATTTTCCATTGGTGTCTAGTTAGCACTATGTGAGTTGTAGACATTTTGTAGCAAAATTAACCTAATGCAAACATTGCAGTGCACAAGACTCCAAAATACAGCTCATAAAATAACTATTCATGACTGAAAACAACAACAGTGTCATAAAACTAATGTCTTTCTTTCATTTTTGAGATCTCTTAGAGCTATTCCATTAAAATGTATGTGAGAGGGTAGGAAGGGTAGTTTAATTATTGAATGTGGGTCATGTGTCTTTTTTCTGTATGCGTCTATTACCATTATGCAAAATTATCTAAAAAATGGTTCTTGGTTGTAGGGATATTTTGAAAGTCCCTTCCTACCCTCCCACATTTCTCCCACAATATTTCTTTGTATTTCTTATGTAGAATTAAACTATCACATTCACTGATGCTGTTTATGACTTTTTCAAAACTATCACCACACAAAAACTTTTTGAACATAAAGCTAAATATTCAAAAGTTTATATTATTTTGAAATAAGTTACTGTCATGACTGGATTTGTGACCATTTGTTTGGAACTAATTTTCGTGGACTTCATGAGTATAAGATACCCCAAAACTTAAATGTTCAACAAATGTTGCAATACGCTTGTATGCAGAAATCAAATATTGTCGACAATACAATTTTTCTTCAATCCACAAAAATTGGTACCACCAAAAACATGTGAATCCACAGTATAAAGAAACTTAAATGGATGGGAGAGCTTTTATTAAATTTTGTTTTAAATAGAATAGTATTTCAAAAAAAATCAACTGAACAAAAGTAAGTTGATAACAAAATAATGTTGTTTGTGAAATATGTAAAATAAATAAAATTCTTTATTATCAAAAGTATTATTTGTGCTTCAATTGTTGTAGTTTGCACCCAGGTGTTATATAGCTCACATGGTCATATTTTATTGCTAGTTTATGTTCATTCCTTTTATCTTTTGCAGTGGTATCCAGAAGTTAGTCATCATTGTCCAAACACACCAATTATATTGGTAGGCACAAAACTAGATCTGAGGGAAGACAAAGAAACAGTAGAGAAATTGAGAGAGAAGAAACTGTCGCCAATCACATACCCCCAGGGACTGGCCATGGCAAAAGAAATCAACGCAGTCAAATATTTAGAATGTTCAGCTTTGACACAGAAGGGTCTGAAAACAGTGTTTGATGAAGCTATCCGAGCTGTGCTGTGCCCTAAACCCAAACCAAAGAAAAAGAAGTGCAAAGTCCTATAATAGAGGAACTTAATAGATTTTTATGTGTTTTTGGGGAGGATGTTTTTGTTATTAAATATAGTACAGTAAACTCTCATTTATTAATAGACATAATATGTGATATTGAAGAAAGTATTGGTGTGTGTCGTGGTACGTAGGCTGAACGTTAAATATGTTTGTTTTTACACAAGAAGTTTGTGTCTTAAAACTACACTAAAGTTGGTTTACCTTGATCAATATAATCATGATAATTGAGACCAAGTTTTTGATAAAATTTTATTTCCTTACTTTAGGAAAAGCAAAATTTGCTTTATTATTTTATGGAGAATTAAATACAACGGTTGTTAAGCTGCATAGTTATTTTTTTTGTTTTTAATATGTTTAAAAGTTTAAACCCAATTTTCGTTCAGAATCTAAAAAGGAAATTAATGTTGTAAATAGAAGTTATTGGTTTTGTCTAGAAAAAATTTTGAGGGGATTTAATCAAATAATCTTTTTTTTTTTGTTATACATGTATATCATAAACGTTATATTATTATTATGGAAACAAACATATTTGCATGCTATGCCTTTAATACCAGGAAGCCTTTAAATCAAGAATTAGAAGTGCAGAAGTATATCATAATGCACCTTGAATACTGAAACACTTCTTGGATATTTTGAGGCATTGTTTAAAACTTTTTTAATAGATAAAATACCAAGTTATTTTTGCACAATGAACAAGATGATTCGTATTGCACAGTTTAATATTTCAAATTATTTTTATATTTTCTATGTTAGAAGGAATATCTACACATTTCTGGTACAATACATGGACGTTGCAAAAGTATTGTTATTATTTTGATTTTTATTTTATGACTAGATCTAAGGAATTTTGGGACATTTAGTGCTATTTTGTTTGATGAACTTTTTTATAGGATTAAAACTCATTTCATTCATAAATAATATTTAGCATTCTGGTTCAATGAATTAAAACAAAATCTTTTTAACAAATAAAACGTTTTGGTTTTATGTTCATATTTCAAACTAATGTGAAATCATTATTATTATACTGTGGATAAACTTTTTTTCATGGTTACCAATCTTCGTGGATATTTGATTTCGTGGTTTTGTAGAAGTCTGCATACAAGTCTAGAAAAACATTTAAATGTGTGGTTCACCCTACAAAATCAAAGACAATTGATATCCCACTATTAATAGTGAATCCACAGTTTTTATTTTTGGCAATTTCAGAAAATTCACTTTCACATCTGATCCTGAGTCGAACATATGATAAGATGTGTTCATAATTGAAATTGAATCCAATTGTCATTAAATGCTCTTATCATTTGAAAACATAACATATAACAGGCTATTATTTGAACTTGGAATTATTTTCAATTATGGAATTTGCATAATTTCTTGTGCTTGAAATTTTTAATAAATTCCATGTTTATTTGGTATAATAATGTTTTGAGCAGTGCATAACACTTCTCATACAATGTATTTTGTATAGATAGTGTTGTGCGCGGCACAGTACATTCTATTGAAAATGTACTATCTTCTTTGTAATAGAAAGTGTTGTGCGCAGCACAGAACATTAAAGTCCAAATAAACATGGAATTTATTAAAAATTTCAAAAACAAGAAATTATGCAAATTCCATAATTAAAAATAATTCCAAGTTTAAATAATAGCCTGTTATATGTTAAATATAAGGGCTATTTTAATGGAAAAGCTCTCTTCACGACTGTACTTTCTGTGTAAGATTTTATCTGCTTTGTTGGCTTTAGTGTTGCTTCTTATTAAAGCTAGAAAATTTTATTTTTAATTTTTCTCAAAGGATAATTTGTGAATTTGTTATATTTTTTATCATAAGAAGTTTATTGTTCTGTTTTTGAAAATGATCCTTTGTATCATGTGTATGTACATTGTACATGATTATAATATAGATAATGTACATAGACTGAACATATGTTATATATCTATAAAATTGTACAGAGATATTTTTTCTTAACTATTACATTTCAGAGACTGTAGAAATGTGACATTGTTTCATATTTAGTGTGGACAAAACATATTTGTATGTGAAAACT